AACAGAACAAAAAAGGACTTAATTATCATATCATCCTTGAGGGACAAAGCTGGGATTCCCAGCAATTCTGACTCCCATATGCTTTCCTCTATACCATACTACCTTAAATAGAACTTTCAGCCAAGAGAGCATAAAATTAAAATATTAGATGATAAAGAAGGGCAGGAAGGACAGAGGGAAGGAGATGGGAATGGCAGAGGGGAAGGAGGGAAGAGAGGGAGGTAGGGAGAAAGGAAGGGAAGAAAAAAGGAAAGGCGGAGGAGGGAGAGACCAACCAACCATTCATAACAGAAGTGAAACTCATAAAGTATCTAGGAATAAACTTAACAAAAAATGTTTTAAGATCTCTATGGATAAAATTACAAATTATCATTGAAGAACATAAGAGAAGACCTGAAATTTCTAAAGAAATACTATGTTGATGTATAGGAAGACAATATAAGGATATCCATTTTCCCCAAACTAAACTAAATACTCAATGTAATCAAAATAAAAAAACCCAATGGGCTTTTCATGTAACCTGATAAGCTGATCTCAAAATTCATATGGAAAAAGAAAAAGTCAAGAATAGCAATTAAAATTTTGAAAAAGAAAAACGGGGTAAGGAGACTTACTCTGCTTAAAGAGCTTAAGTAATTTGGACAGTTTGGTATTGGTATAGAAACAGCCAAACAAACCAATGGAACACAATAGAAAGTTCAGAAACAAATCCACAAAATAGAGAAACACGATACATGACAAACAAGGCACTGCAAATCAATGAGGAAAAGACAGAATATACAAGAAATCGGGCATGTTCTCTATAAGGAGAAATAAAACTCAATCTCTACCTCATGCCACATTCATTATATTTTACTAATTTAAAAACTCCAGCTGTAGAATATATACAACATGAATTTAATTTTTATAAAGTTTAAAAAATCTGCCCCCCAAAAAACTATAATGTTTAAAGATGTATAACTATGTAGCAAAAGTATAAAAACACATATGAGAGCAATAAACACCAAATTTACTATAGTGCTTACTTCTGGAGAGGAAAAGAAGATCAGGGAAAAGTAAGCAGGAGAGCCTCAACTTTATCTGTAATTTTTATCTTTTTTAATCCCCCCCCTAAAAGATGCTGCTAGGTAGTAAGTGCATGGATGTTCATTATATTATTTTCTTCTTTTGTCTTATGCTTGCAATATTTCACAATGAAGCAAAATGAGGGGGAAAAGGAAATTTAAAAATTAGATGTTGCAGCTAATTGAGATTTCTATTATTTAGTAACACTAAGAAAGCATAGGTTTTTTCCTTTTTTAAATTTAGAATTCATTTAAAGAATAAAACATTCTTTATACCTCCAGAATACCTCTTCCGTTAAAACTGCATCACTCCAATTAATCTCTATAAAATGATAAACGTAATGCTTTGATGGCTTATACCACCAGTTTATTGACTTAAAATGCTCTAAAACTTATCAGTAAGCACCAGTTCTGAAATAGCTCTCCCTTATCTCTGAAATTTATTATAAACTTAAAATTAAAAACAAAAGATCTGAGTGTACACTACTGTAGTCACTAGTCACTATATAAGATCATGCTGCTATCAGGGAGACTGCTGGACACCACAGACAACACCAATCTACTTTTTCAGCAGCTAAAGAATGACCCCCTATATTATAAATGCTGGCAAAGGAAAAATAATTTAAGGGCCAGATGATATTTACTTATAAAACTTTCCTAAAAGGAAAATGCACAGAAAAAACATGGGTTTTGGTATTGGTCAGACTGAGGTCAAAATCTGGCACAGCCACTCAAGGCTTTGTGTGACCCTAAGAAGCCTACCGAACTTCACTGAACCTCAATTTCCTCACAAACAATTTAACTAAGTACTTGCTTTACAGGAATGCTGTGAGGATTAAATTAGATAAATGTATAGGCCAGTACTTAGGACATACCAGGTAATAAACAAATGCTGATTCCCTTTAAAAATGATACTCAAGGGCCGGCCCTGTGGCCTAGTGGTTAAGTTAGGCACACTCCACTTCAGCAGCCCAGGTTCGGTTCCAGGCACACACCTACACCACTCCTTGGCGACCCACATACAAAATAGAGGAAGATTGGCAACAGATGTCAGCTCAGGGCGAATCTTCCTCTGCAGAAAAAAAAAAAAAAGCTACTCAAATATAAGAATACTGTCTTAAATTCCACATTAAGTTTTCTTCTCTATTTCACAATGGAATCTTTGGGTCTTATTTTATCACTAAAAAAAGTATTCCAACAGATTTTTAATTATTAAAAGCATGTAAGGGGCCAGCCCAGTGGCGCAAGCGGTTAAGTGCCCACACTCCGCTGCAGCGGCCCGGGGTCTGCTGATTCGGATCCCAGCGCGCACCAACGCACCGCTTGGCAAGCCATGCTGTGGCAGCATCCCATATAAAGCAGAAGAAGATGGGCATGGATGTTAGCCCAGGGCCAGTCTTCCTCAGCAAAAAGAGGAGGAGTGGCAGATGTTAGCTCAGGGCCCATCTTCCTCACAAAAAAAAAAAAAAGAAAGAAAGATCCCTTTGGTATTGTTTTCTGTTTCTAACTGACTCTTTCTCCAGAGTCTTGCAATGGAGGAATAATTGGCAGAATTTTATTTTCCTGCCTCTTTTTTTTGTTGTTGCTGATGTGCTACCAGCAGTACCTGTAATTTCTACAATTTGACCTAAAAATTATTCTTCCCTACTTGGGAGGTGCCCTTTTTCACTAAGATATAATTTCAGAAGTGGTGAACATAAATTGGTGAGCAAGTCAACTAATACTTATCAAGATAACCAGGTTCACTGACTGGCAATCCACAGGGTGACAGATGTCAGAAAGATATTATCTTCAGTCATACCACCTATTTGTTCTTCTCAATCTTAACAAATTAGAAATAGGATCTTCAACAACACATAGGATTTAAAGAACTGACATATAAGGAAAAAGGCAACTGAAGTCGTTAATTATCTGATTAAATTTAAATATTCTCCAAATAAGAATATCTTTCTTTTTTTTTTGGTGAGGAAGATTGGCCCTGAGCTAACATCTGTCACCAATCTTCCTATTTTTGCTTGAGGAAAATTGTCACTCAGCTAACATCCATGCCAGTCCTCCTCTATTTTTTATGTGGGACACCTGCCACAGCATGGCTTGATGAGCAGTGCATAGGTCCGTGCCCAGGATCCAAACCTGCAAACCCTGGGCCGCCAAAACAGAGCATGCGAACTTAACCACTATGCCACCAGGCCAGCCCCAAGAATATCTTTTTTTAAGAGCCAAACTTGCATCTCAAATTCTTTTTTAAACTTTTTTTTTTTTTTTTTTGCTGAGGAAGACTGGCCCTGGGCTAACATCCGTGCCCATCTTCCTCCACTTTATATGGGACGCCACCACAGCATGGCCTGACAAGCGGTGTGTTGGTGCGTGCCCGGGATCTGAACCGGCGAAGCCCAGGCCACCGCAGTGGAGCGCACACACTTAACCGCTTGCGCCACCAGGCCGGCCCCGCATCTCAAATTCTTTAAACATCCAGAAACTTGGGAGTCATCCTAGATCCCTCATTTTCCTTTATCCTTATATCTCATTGGTCACCACAGTCCTCTCCAATCCTATCACCACTGCCCTAACGCAGGAATTTCTCAAATCTCCCATTATCATCTCCTATCTGCATTCTTTTTTTTTTTTTTTTTGGTTTGTTTTTGTTTATTGCAGTAACATTGGTTTATAACATTGTAAAAATTTCAGGTGTACATCATTGTACTTCTATTTCTGCATGGACTACATCATGTTCACCACCAAAATACTAATTACAACCCATCACCACACACATGTACCGAATTATCCCTTTCACCCTCCTCCCTCCCCCCTTCCCCTCTGGTAACCACCAATCCAGTCTCTGTCCCTATGTTTGTTTATTGTTGTTATTATCTACTACTTAATGAAGGAAATCATACGGTATTTGACCTTCTCCCTCTGACTTATTTCACTTTGCATTATACCCTCAATGTCCATCCATGTTGTCACAAATGGCTGGATTTCGTCGTTTCTTATGGCTGAGTAGTATTCCATTGTGTATATATACCACAGCTTCTTTATCCATTCGTCCCTTGATGGGCACTTAGGTTGCTTCCAAGTCTTGGCTATCGTGAATAAGGCTGCAATGAACACAGGGGTGCATGTACCTTTGCAAATTGGTGTTTTCAAGTTCTTTGGATAAACACCCAACAGTGGAATAGCTGGATCATATGGTAGTTCTATCGTTGATTTTTTGAGGAATCTCCATACTGTTTTCCATAGCGGCTGCACCAGTTTGCACTCCCACCAGCAGTGTATGAGAGTTCCCTTCTCTCCACATCCTCTCCAACACATGTTGTTTCCTGTCTTGTTAATTACAGCCATTCTGACGGGCGTGAGGTGATATCTCATTGTAGTTTTGATTTGCATTTCCCTGATAGTTAGTGATTTTGAACATCTTTTCATGTGTCTGTTGGCCATCTGTATATCTTCTTTGGAGAAATGTCTGTTCAGGTCTTTTGCCCATTTTTTAATTGGGTTGGTAGTTTCCTATCTGCATTCTGAATCTCAAGAATTACTTCCCTCTGATCATCTAGAAGATTACTACCATAGTTTTTCATCAAAATAAAAATCAAATAAATAAATAAATACTATATAGAGTTTTGAGTTAAAAACAAGTCTAATTACAAAAGCAATATATATTCACTGTTGAAAGCTTAGAAAATACAGATAAATATACAGGAGACAAAAATCATCCATAATCTTACAACCCAGAAACACTTTAAAAATTAGTATACCTAGAAGTCTTTTTGTTTAAGCATTAGATATGTATTTTTTTTAAACATAATTGGCATTATATTTGAAGTTTTATTTCCTACTTTCACATACCACGGACACTTTCCCATTAAGTTTTACTTGAGAATGTCTTTAGTGCTTATATAATATTCTATCAAATATTGTACAGTAATTTATTAACACTGGTCTCCTGGGAGCTCCTTGCCACTACAATTTCTAGGTCTACCTCTTCAGAGGCACCAGACTTAGATTAGTTCCTCTTTGCCCCTACAACAAATAACGGTGTGGTTGACATCTTTGTATAAAAATTGACAACTAAATCTTTATTTCCTCTGTCTTGAGATACACACCAAAATTGACATTACTGGATCAAAAGGTTTAAATATTTCTTAGGCTTTTGAGCTATATCGTCAAATTATTTTCTATACAGTTTAAACCAATTTATATGCTCTACTGCAGAGTATAAGAAACATTGCTTTACTACAGTCCTCCCTAGTATTAAGTATTCATTTAAACTGCAATTATAAAAAGAAAAAAAAAAAGATGAAGTTCCCAACACACCAAGGCATGGCTTCAGAGATTCTTCTGAAATTTTTTGCTTGGTACCCAAAATTATGCTATGACACTACAACTCTTACTTGGGTTTATTTGTTCATTCATTCATCTATTGAAATATTTACTGCCTATTGTCTTCCAGGTATTGAGAACACAAACGTGAATAAGACAGACAAGCTCAGTAACGCTGGAAAAATTAGTCCCAGGATTCCTCCATCCAAAGCACTGCCCTCAGAACAATCAAATTTCCTCTCTACTAACTACCTCCTGGATCCAGTCTGGGCTCAGTGCTTGAGGAGAGGCGGTCCCTACATTGATCAAGGTGACATCTATGATAATGGAAAGTGGTGAGACAAGAGGCTGGAAAAGTTAGACAAAGGCCAAGTAGTAAATGGTCTTAAATGCATGTTAAGGAAATTGCCTTTAACCTGTAGGCTGTTGTTTCCCATACTTAAGCACTACCTTAGTGATTTGCCACAGTCACATGACTCCTGAACTATTAGTTACTTAATGTTTTTCTGTCAGTAACATTACTTTCATTTCAAAAGGAACTTTTATTTCACTGTTATAAATAAAAAACCAATATTACTTGTCACAAATGAAAGGCAACAGTAGACAAAAAATACAAACTATTATTAAATTTTAAAAATTAAAAATGAAATGCAAGTAAAGCATTCTTGGAAATAGGAACACTAACAGATAGCACACCTGTAACATGGTCATTACAGCAGCCACGAAAAAGAGGCATTTCATGTTTCCTTCTTTTCACATCCAAAGTCATGACATGCCTTTACCCATACAAAAAACTGCCTCATTCAATTCATTGGTACCAGTGATTGGTCATTTAATGGAAAACAGCAGTTCAAGTAAGGAACTGGTTAAAAAAAAAAAAAAAACAAAAAAACCCTACTCATACATACTTTAAATTTCATTTCAACTTAAAATATATGTGTACATTTATTTGCCAATTTTTAAATGCAGGATCAAGGCCTTCTCTTTAAGTAAAGATGTGTTGATTGGCGTGCCCTATTATTTTTTTTGTATAAACTATACTAACATACATCAGCTACGATTTATTTACTGTTTCAGTTTCCTTACAATGCAGCAAGAAACTAAACATACTCACTAGACTCTACTTTTCTGCAAAATAGCTAATAGTTGTTTTTCATCCATATCTAATTTGATAGCAATTTCTTTAGTGACAAGTCTCTACTCATATTTCCAAAGTACACACAACTCAGTTTTCATAGAAACAATTTTCTTTTTATGCTCATATTTCATTGTTTTTCATAATATTTAACTAAACTATCTAATTCTATACAAGCACAACAGGTTGGGATTATACTGGAAGGAATGGAAATATTCACACATACTACAAAGTAGCCTCCTAGACACAAGCATTTAACCCACTGTGGGTAAAAGTCATGCTCTACAGAGGAAATGGAGTGAGCCTATTAAATTGAGGCTAACAGATTTCAACTACTGCTTCTCCTCTCTCTTCTTCCTAAATATATTGGTCACATCTTTCAAGACTTGTTTAGCTTCAAACACATAATGTTTAGCTTCCATTGATGTTATAGGACTTCGTGAACTCCTAAATGACTGTCCATTTTTACCATGTTTCCTCCAACAGTTCTTAACGTTAACTGGTCACCTTGAGAAACTCCAAAACTTTTATCTTAACATCAAAAATGATACACTTTCTCGGCACTTTTGCAGCAACTCTAACACTATTATTTGTACTCTTTTTGCCAGCCATTACAGGTCAAAACATTCATTAAAAATCTTATAAAAGTATTCCCTATCTTAACTTCAAAACTGGAACTACATATAGAGTCTGGTAGAAATAGTGGAAAAGTCTTCACACATCCATTTGAGTTGCAAGAAGAATTTTAAATATTTCTGGAAGAAATCTTCAATTTTTGAGATCATATGCATGACTGAGACAAGCTTTGCAAATAAGCACATCTTGACAAATATATCTGCTCATGTGAACAACTTAAATTTATCCTGACAAATTTAAGTATTCCATGTACAAAACAAAGTGAACAAGATAACTGCAAAACTAGAACTACAAGATATCTGAGTGAGTTGTATTCTTTTTCCTCTCTGAAAAGACTACTTAAAGACTCCTCTGAAAGTATTTTGAATATTATAAAAAATGCTTGAAAGATATGATAAGTTTTCACAAGAATTTTCCCAAACTAGATGATAGCAAAGAGGAGATGAGGAACCCCTTTTCCACTTCATGAACATCAACTAATAAATAACTTGACACATCCAGAAGAGATTCTAAAGATTACTTTAGATGGTTTCTTGGAACAAAAGGCCTTATTTTTATTAGTATTTAACTGTAGACCAAAGCTTACTATTAACCATCTTCTGATCTTTCCAACTACAAATACTTCAGAGTTGGGATTCTTGGTGCTTGTTAACATCAAAATTTAAAAATGGAATTGTCCTAATAACCTTAAATCTCTCTCAGTTATACACCAAACAATGTCCAAACAAATATCCCTTTACTGCTGACTAAAAACATTCTTCTTACAACTGATTTTAAGGCAGACATTTTTATAAATCAAAGGATGCATTACTGTATTTCATTTTTAATTTTTTAAAATTTAATAATAGTTTATGATTTTTTCTACTGTTGCCTTCTGTACGTGGCAAAAATACTGGTTTTCTGTTTATAATAATGAAATAAAGTTTCCTTTGGGAACGGATTTTCAATTTAAAAGTAATGTTAAAGAAAACATTAAGTAACAGATAGTTCAGGGACTATAAGACTATAGCAAATCATTAAAGCAGTATCCAAATAAGTTAAGTATGGGAAACAACAGCCTACAAGATAAAAACGTGCATTCAACATCAGTCTAATTACCCTTCCGGTCTCTTTTCTCACCACTTTCCCTCATCACAAACTTCACGTTGTAACAATATCCCACACATAACCAACCATCCTTTCTGCCTAAAATGCCATTCTATTATCCATATAACCACCACCACCACCTCCACACCCTACACCACACACACACCACATCTAAACAGCCAACTCAACTCCTTACCTCTTAGAGACTCTACACTATGGTATTATCTTCCTCCAAGAAATCTTCCCTAACCATGTCTCCTCAGACTGTATTATATGTCACTAGAGCCTGTCTTATTCATCTATATAGCTTTCTCTGGTTCCCAGCACAGTTATTCAATAAATAATTTTTGGAAGAATCAGTCTCAAGTTTTACTCTTACCTGACAACTCTGGATCATTTAGCAATGTTAATTATGTTTTACTTTCAACTTTTATCCCTTCGTGAAGTTTCCTCTACAATGTACTCTCCTGGAAACTCCTCTATACCACTCCTTTGATTCTCTGTAACTGTTTCTCAACTGCCTTTGAGATCACTTCTGTCCTCCCCTAAATATGTGATGCAAGATACTATATTGGCCATCCTTCTGGTGCAATCTCATTCTTGTTGAACTCACCTATTCATATTACTTCAACTACCATCACAAACACAATAGCAATAGCCAAGATCTCACTCCTATACAAATATTAGATATTTGCACCTGTATATTCCATAGGTACCTGTGGTGGCAGCCTCTAAAATAACCCCCAGTGAATCTTACCTCCTGGAATTCATGTCCTGTATAGTTCCCTCCCACACTGAATAGAGCTGCACCTGTTGAACTGATAGAATGTTACAAAAATGAAAAGTGTGTAACTTCTGAGGTCAGCTCATAAGTTATTACGGCTTCCACCTTGCTCTCTATAATCACCTGGTCTGGGTAAAGCCAGCTGCCTCAAACATGCCTATGGAGAGGTCCACCTGTGAGGAACTGAGGCCTCCTACCAACAACCAGCACCCACTTGCCCAGCATTTGAGTGTGTCACCTTGGTCAATCCGCCAGCTCCACTCAAGCCCTCAGATGATGGAAGCCCTTGTTTCAGAAGCAGTCATCTTGACTGCAACCTCATTAGAGACCTTGAACCAGAACCACCTAACAAGGCTGCTCCCAGATTCCTGATCATAGTAAACGGTATGAGATAATAAATGTTTAGTAGCATTATCCAGCAGAACTTTCTGCAGTGATTAAAATGTTCTATGTCCAAAGTTCAATACAGTAGCCAGTGGCTACATGTGGCTACTGCACACTTAAATGTGGTTAGTGTGACTGAAGAACTAAATTTTCAATTTTATTTAAACTACTTTAAATTTAAATAGCCACATTTAAATTTAAATGTGTCTTATGGCTACCATGCTGAATAGTGCAAGTTTATTGTTTTGGGATAATCTATTATGCAGCAATAGATAACTAATATAGTATCTTAAACCAAATCCACCCCTTACTACATATGTTCTCTTCTCCATCTTTCACCTAATCAGTTAACCAAATAAAAATAACAAACTAAAATAAAACTGTGCCTCCTCCCTTTTATATTTCCCATCTTGGGGGGTACCAATGCCCATCCAAACACCCAAGCCAGAAAGACCCTCACTTTCACCACCTACCCTTTTCATACTACTGGTATTCTTAATATCTTCTTAATAGCTCTATTTGTCTCTTCTCTTTTAAATGTATTGTTACAACTTCAGCTTAGAACTTCATTATTTTTCACCTGGATTATTGAAAAATGTCTCCTTATTGGTTTCTCTGCCCCCTAAAACTGCTTCTCAAGACTAATCTATTCTTCACACTGCCACCCAAATGATTTTTCTATAACATAACACTGATCTATTACCCCTCTGATTAAAGGCCTTCAGTGGCTTCCCACAATCCAGAGGACAAAACCCACAGTCCTCAGAACGACATAAAAATAACCGGGTGCCTCCTATCACTATAACTTTACCAAACGCTGTGCCTGCCATGAACCTCCAAGCTCCAATCACCCCGAACTATATGTGTTCCTAGAAAACGTGAGCTATTTCACCTATGTGCCTTGTTCACATTGCTACTTTTACCTGAAATGCTCTTCTATTCCTTACCTGTCTGGTAACTACATCATATCTTTCGGGATTCAATGGAAGTGTTCATCTCCTCTATAAAGCTGTTCCTGATTTATCCAGAAAGTACTGTTTCTTCTTGAGTCCCCACTGTACCTTGTGCACTTAGCTGCCTACATGTCTCTCTCCCTCTACTAGACTAGAAGCTCCTAAAAGGCAGAAACAGTAGCTAACTCAATGCTGATTATATCTGGCAATACAGTATAGCGTTTAAGAGTACAGGTTGGGCAGTCAGACACACTCAGACTAAAATCCCAGTGTTACCACTCACTAGGCATGGTACTTAAACTTTCTGAGCTTTCTTCACCTGTAAAATGGAGATCATATAATAAAACCCATTTCTGCACAGGGTCATTGTGAGGAATAAGCATAATAATACGTTTGTATAAAATATTACAGTGCCTACTATGCAACTTTTACTCAATAAATGTATTTTGGATGGAGAGATTAATGGTTGGGTTACTACTTCCTAGGCAGGTAAAGAAAGGGTGAGAAAGGTCAAAATAGAAGGTATCGTGTTTGAAATAACTTTTGCTAGGCTACTCTAAAGAATAATAATAAGTAATCCAGGAACCCTACTGGGTATCTACTATGTGGTCAGAAAATCGCAGGGAATGTCAAAAGGACTCAACTAGAGAGGCTGGCCCAACGGCGCAGCAGTTAAGTCTGCACATTCCGCTTCAGCAGCCTGGGGTTCACTGGTTCAGATCCTGGCGTGGACATACTCACCACTCATCAAGCCATGCTGAGGCAGCGTCCCATACAGAAGAGCTACAACTCTACAACTATGATACACAACTATGTACTGGGGCTTTGGGGAGAAAAAATAAAAAAAAAAAAGAGGAAGACTGGCAACAGATGTTAGTGCACTCTTCCTCAAAAAACAAAAAAAGGACTCAATTAGAAATAAATAAAAAGTTGAAGAAGAGCAGAGGTTCTAGATAGGATCAGATAAGAGAGATTAGAAGCCTGGTGATGATGATAAAGGCAAAGAGTACATGCAAAATGGTATAGGGAAGAAGGAAAAGTAGAAGGTAAGAGATAGAAAAACACAAAAATTTGGAAGTAGAATTCTTCTAAGCAATGGCAAGATCTAAGATGTAGTCATACTGATAGATAGGTCCTAGGATAAATCATATGAAACTGCAAATATTGGACTGTTTTTGACTAATAACATGGATTGGACCATCTTTTAAATAATAAATTAGATCTTTTAAAAATAATAAAAGTTTGGGGATTACATAATGATTCCCTTTTACATTCTACTTTTTGCCTTGAGTGCCTGAGACAATGTGAGCTCATAAGACAGTGAAGCAAAACAAAAAATTACATTCCTATTAAAGTGTCCTGGATGTTCCCTGAAAGACAATTTAGAAATTTCTGCTGTAACTTACATTAAAAGACAAGAGACTAAATAAATAACCTTCTTTGGCTGAACCTTTTCATTTGAATTCTACACTTTCTATTTGTGTTTGGATTCTAACTTCACAGAAATGATAGCTACCGAAAATTATGTGCAGTAGTAAATACAATGAACCCCAAGAGTTCAAAGACCTGGATTTTTAAACCTGGTTCCAAAAATGTACTAGCTGAGGGGCTGGCCCTGTGGCATAGTAGTTAAGTTCAGTGTGCTCTGCTTCAGCAGCCTGGGTTTGTGGGTTCAGATCCTGGGCGCAGACCTACACCACTCATCAGCCATGCTGTGGCAGTGACTCACATACAAAACAGAGGAAGACTGGCACAGATGTTAGCTCAGGGCTAATCTTCCTCAAGCAAAAAGAGGAAGATTGGCAACAGATGTTATCTCAGGGAGACCCTTCCTCAGCCAAAGAAAAAAAAAAAGTACTAGCTGGGAAATACTGGACTAGTCAAAGAATGTTTTTGAATCTAAGTTTTTCCTCACCTGTAAAATGACAATAACATCTGCCTTGTAGTGTTTGTTACATGTATTAAATGTAATGCCTACAAAGCACCTAGAATGATGCTTCATAAATGAACGCCGTTTGTTATCATTACTAAATAAGGAAACAGTTGTAAAAGTATAGTAAATGCGAATGGAAATTACTACTAGTTTCATACAAATATGAATGACATATAATTTGGCTTAGATATGACAAGACTTAAGTGAATTATATTGTTTGTGTGGTAATAACCTTCTCATTTTTGAATATGGCAAAATAAGCAGGGGCAAATATTTCTATAATAACCAGATTATTTATGGACTGTGAATTGGTTGTCTACCTCCTCATTATTTTTCCCAATCTGACTTTTTAACTTCATCAACCCTCAAAGATAACAGAACATTCTCCAGACTAGTCATATCGATAACAGTAAACTTTTCAAGCTGGATAAGCAAAGGTTTCCTTATTCCTAACAGTGTAAGGAAGCAATGGTAGCTAAAATGAGATATGGTAAATATTTATGCAAAATTAACAGACCTTTACCCCACAGGGAGGCTGCAAGCATGGGAAAAAGCAGCTTCCCAGAACTCGGCATAGCGGATGTCTGTACATCTCCCTAAGGGCTATAAAGTCTCTGCATCCATCAGAACGCTTCAAAGCGCACTGCCTTTCTGCAGGCTGTCTCTCTGTACATCTTAAACCTAGTAAAATTCTCAAATTATAATTCTCCAGTTTTTCTCTACCTAGAAACAGTACTTATTCAATAAAAGCTTTACTTTGCAGGCTCCTTTTTCAACCAACTATCTGCCTACTTTTGTTCTAGATTCTCTGGGGTTACTAAGAAAATGCAAGAAAACAATTTATAGTTAAAAAGGGTTATTAGGGGCCAGCCTGGTGGCATAGTGGTTAAGTTCATGCGCTCCGCTTAGGCGGCCCAGGGCTCACAAGTTCAGATCCCAGGCGCCGACCTACATACTGCTCATCAAACCATGCTGTGGTGGCATCCCATATGCAAAATAGAAGAAGATGGGCACAGATGTTATCTCAGAGCTAATATTCCTCTCTAAAAAAAAAAAAATTGAAAACGGGGGGGGGGTTAGGTTAAAAAATAACACACTTAAATATCTCTTAAGCAAATTTTCTTTCCAATGTTATGGTATAAAAAGTGGCTAGACCAAAATGATTCATGCCACAGAATTTCATTAACAGAAAAAAAAATCGTTACAAAGAAGAAATAAAGATAAAAAGTAACAATATTTTATTGCTCAGCAGATGAATCTAGAGCTAGAATAAAAGGAATGATTACTTATTTCTTTAAGTGGTAGAAAATAAAAACAATGATAAAGAAGGGAAGGTCACTACTATAACAAGAAATCTTTAAGAAAATATTATCTCCATTGCCACTTAACCAAACATAGACTCTTGCTAAGAAAAAACTTAAACCCAATTTGCTTAAATCATTTATGCTTCACAAAGGCCTGATCACCTACTATTAAAATCATTCATTTGCTGTCTTTTCCTTTTCCTTTTTCTCCTCTTACAGACTCAGTATATCAATTTTTTGAGTCATTTCTTAACTGTTTTGTGTGCCTATAATACAAAAAAAAAAAAAAACCCACAAAACTTGTATTAGATGAGCCTTAAACTTCTTAAAAGAACTTTGGAATAGTTACAATGGAAAATGATTTATAAGCAACATATATCAGGCTTCAAAAAATTCCAATGTTGGTGGCAAGCACGAGGCAGACTATATAGAAACTGATATATAATAACATACAAATGAAATTACACAGTTATAAGCCAATATGACCTCAATAAAATAAATTTTTAAAGAAGTCCAATGTTTACAAACATGTGTATATATAAAGCAATGAATAAGAAACCAAAACACAGTGTAGTCATTCTTTAGAGGAATGCAGACAAAATCCCTCATGTCAAAATTCTAGAAAAGGGAATAGGTAAACAGGTGATTAAGAGTAGAAAGAATAAAACATAGTTATGAAATTATAATGTGAAGACAACCCTTTAATGGTGTTGTTGAAGACAAAATCCACTTTCCGGGTTTCATCCAACCAATTCAAAAGATCAACTGACTGATCCAAATGAGCCAATCTTAGTATAAGCAGGCCTGAGACCAATAGGCCAAAAGAAAATGGGCACTGGAGTCATAATCCCAACTCTTCTGTTTAGAAACTGTGACCCTGAGCAAATTGGTGAATGTCTTAAAACCTCTTTTTCTCTGTTTTAAAATAGGGGCAATAATATTTAACTTACACAGCTGAGAAGATTAAAAAGGACGATGCACAGAAAGTACCTAGGACAGTGCCCAGCACTTAGTATGTACTCAATAAATATAAAATCCTTTACCACATCCCAATTTCTTCATAAGACTAAATTTCATCTATTTTAAAATGCTCATTTTCACCTACATTCATCTTGCCACCTTGCTAAAGTGTAAAACAGTAGAGCAACAAGTCATCATGAGTTAAGCACTGTCTTGCTAATCAAACTACTGTAGTTTCCAGAATCCTTCATTGATCAAATTATCACTATATTCATCACCAGATGCACAAAGCATAGGCTTAAGGGATTGCTCCTACCTCCAAAGAGGTAGCTAAGGAATACAGATTCTCCTTCAAGTAGTGACTAAAGCAATGCCTAATCAATAAAATGTGATTTCTTCCATTCAAAAGCAACGAACACCTAGCCACTCTAGCCCGGTGGCGTAATGGTTAAGTTCATGTGCTCCGCTTTGGCGGCCCAGGGTTTGCAGGTTCGGATCCTGGGCACGGACCTACGCACTCCTTCTCAAGCCATGCCGTGGCAGGTGTCCCACATACAAAGTAGAGGAAGATGGGCAAGGATGTTAGCCCAGGGCCAATCTTCCTCAGCAAAAAGAGGAGGATTGGCAACGGATGTTAGCTCAGGTCTAATCTTCCTCACAAAAAACAAAAAAACAAAAAACAAAAAACCTCAAAAGCAATGACCATTTAAAGCTTCTTAAATTTCAACTTATACCATGTCCTTTTCATTTCAGTTTAGGTAACTCACCAAAATGTAATTAAACTGAAAAATAAAAAGGAAACATAAAAGAACAGTTATGTTACAGGAAGTAACATTAATTTTTTTAATTTGGAAAATAAGACAAATTTAATCATTAATCATGACTTCATACAACCACTTCTCAAAATACACATGACTTCTCACCCTAATCTTCAGCACTAATCAATGAATATCATTCTTACCGGTAAATTTCTTAATTCTTAAATATAAATGAGCAAAAGTAGGCAAGAGCTCAAAATAACACAATCACCTACACAGAGCAGGCATTCAATATTTACTGAATAAATGAATAAACAAATGAACTAATGTGGAACAGATAGAAATGGACAAATTCTGAGTGATCAAAGGCAGATTTAAAAGTTGATTGCCAATCCTAAAAATCTTATCAATTCTGCAACTAGATGTTACTGTTTCACCGTCTGAATTGAAATAACTGTCACTCTTTAGTCTACTCCTCACTTCCAAATGTATCTTAATTCTAAAAACTGCCTATAATTTGAAATATATAGGATAAAGAATATTATCACAGCAGGAAAAAACACTGTCACAGCAGCAGCAAATACATAAAATTCAAAATCATTTTATATGCACAGATCAAAGTTTTAGAAAAACCTAATTTCTGAGGTTTAAACAATACTATAACTTACTACCTCTTATATGCTAGGTAATTAAATACATTCTCACTTAATCTTCATGACAACTCTGCAAAGTACTATTATTCCCATTTTTACAGATGAGAAAACTAAACCACTGCTCAGAGAGGTAAATTTGCCTAAGGTCT